CAATGAGACTGTTTAATTTGTCCTGGCAAGTTCAAACCGCCGTGGCGTAGACGGTGATAATTTATGCAGTGCTACGTGTGAGCGGGTCAAAAGGATGTAAACAATGCATCCTATTAGCATGGCGGTGAAGTTGTAAGCATGGCGGTCCGAGCCCAAGCGTGGCGGCCGGGTTGCCAAGCATGGCGGTGCCGCCATGCTTTGTTCTATGTGGGGAGAACACTGACTTTCTACCACGATCGTACATTATTTTACGCACAGATAAAGTTTTTTTTTCAGTATCAGATGTATAATAATTAGGTTTATCTGCTTGTTTTTTGATAATTTTGCAAGCAAGCAGAAACTACTGTCACAAACATATTCATAATAATTCTATTGTAACTTTTTTCCAGAATGCATTCGGAGATGTTGCCAGACTATTTTCTGAGTTTTTCCATGAATTAGATGTGGTACCATCCGATATCATAGCAGGTCTATTGCTTCTTAGAGAAGAACAGAAAAGGCGACGTAGAGTCATTGTAGAAAGTCAATCAAACAACGTCTTTCAATTTTTATCCGGTGTTCCTATAGCACCAAGCACAAATTTTTTAAATCTTCAGGACCCTGTGAGTGTTATCATCTCTTGATATATCCTGTGTAAACTCTTTCAAGTGTTACAATAGACCATTTTCTGTTATTGCGAGATCCCGCATTATGCGTAAAATCAAACGTAAAAACAGTGCAAACAAAGGTCATAGCGTCGTAGTGGCAACAAACATTGCGTGGAATTCGACAAACGAGAAAGTATTTTGGGGAATATTTCCATGCTTGATAATGTGCTGTACACATTTGATGGTGGTCAATTTTGATGAAGTAAAGGTATTCAAATGCAATATTTCCCTGTCAAAAATCGGCCTTTCAATGTGAACTACAAAATAAAAAAAATTTAAGTTCAAAACCAAATCTTATGATTTTTTGCTGCAGATGGTAGGTGCTCGTCTTTCACGCAACTCGCGAGATCTTGCAGTTGAACGGAAAATCACCTATTCCAGAATATCTTGATGTAAAATTGGTTAATTTTTTTAACCTTATTCCCACCAATTCCCTATTTGCATTATGTATTCACAAAATAGTCCTGTTATTGTCTGCACTTTCTTTCAGAAGATTGGGACAAAAATAGCCAAATTTTTTGAGTATAAAATGAAATTGATTCAAATTTTGTCTGTTGGCTTCAAATTTAGGGTTCCTTTCCAGAAATATTGAAGAATATACAAGAAAAATGTGCAGAAAAATTTGGGCGAGTCTGGTGGTGAAAAGGTTTATATTGTCTTTTATACCATGAGATGTTAGTAAAATCACTATCATCTTATTTTGTCTGTTGAAAGAACACCTTTGAAGTACATGTATCGGTATGAGCCTAAGGCTTCTATAATTTTCTATTTACATCTGTCTGTTACGCTAGTCTGATTAGATCAATAACCTAACTTGCTGGTTAGCAGGGCAGTTTAGAATC